ACATATCAAAACCACCCTTAAGCTTTTCAGTTTTATTTTTTTTTTAAAACATCGATAATACGCATGCTTATTCTCCAAATTACACTTCATGACCATCTTTTCGCTTTTTTACAGACAAATCTTTGTAAATCCCAACTAAAATATGTACAGTCTGTAGATGATTCAGATATTCCTAAACTACTTAACTCATACATACACTGTATATGTTTAGCAGCCTAGAGTAAAAATTATGAGAATGCCCAAAACTATGTATGACTTCCTTAGCCAAAGAAGAGGAGATACATCGTGCTTTTCGGTCCAAGGAAACCTCCTTAAATTAGATAGTACATGTATGACTAACATTACTAAAAACAGTATAAGTTATAGCAAATTCAAGATTATTTAAATTCCTCGTAGAATTTATCGATCTTAGTTGAAAAAAATTATAAGAATTAAAATGTCAAGTTTAAAAGATTTTCATTCTACTGAGAAATCTTTTATTTTTTTATTATAGTTCACGGCTTAGTACAAATATAAACTACAGATTGTAGAGTACTAAGTAATTCTTTATCATGGAAACATGCATATGTGAACCAGACAAATGTTCGGGAAACCCGTTTACATCAATCATTAGTAATATGGATTGTTCAGGAACCACCGTGACTGTGGAATGCATGTACTCGTAATAAACACAAATATTCTTCTTACCTTCATATTTTTCGACCTAAAATTTCACAGTTTAATAACCTTTAAAATTTACACAGTTTAATAACCTTTTAATTTGCATTAAACCATAACAAGGGATGAGATACATCATTATAAATGTGAAGATGGATCTTTTTCGGTAAATTATGTAATTTTTCAGTGGAGAGGATGTCTACTAGTAAATTTTAAATTATTTGTCCAGTCTCTTTGTATATATATACGAGGGATGATCAAAAAGTTCGCGAACTAATTGTCTGATGAATTACTTCCTTATTAGAAATAAAATGAGGTTTCAGTGTTCATTATTTTTTAAAGCAATCCTCCCCCATTTTAATGCACATCTGCCATTGTTCTGGCCATGCGCGAATCACGTGATCCAGACGGTCACGTGACATGCTTCGTAGCGGTCTGTTCACAGAAGCTAAGATATTTTTCCGAGTCTTATATTTCTTACCATGCAAGTAATTTTTTATAACAAGAACAGACCATCTGTCAGAAATGGCCAAAGGGTGGATAAGGATATCCCGATCCCTTCCCAGAATTAGCATGGTGACCATCACAACCCAAGTCCTCTGTCTCGGGAGCGTCGTTTATCCAATGTGGAAAAAGTATGGGCGTCTTATTTTTTTCATATCTCATACGTTTAAAGTCTAAAGTAAACGATATTTTAGGGATTTAATATTTATATTATTGCTCAAATATTCAACCATTTTTCTTACTGTAACTTGGCGATCTTTCAAAACAAATTGCTCAACTAAGGACATATCTTTTTACCGGCTTGCTCATTCAATCCAATTAATGATTGAACTTTTGGTAAGTCTTTTGTCTTCATAAACCTTGTACAAATTATCATATTCTACTGCAAAGGAATTTCCGAGATGTACGTTAAACTTTTCAACCGATCGTTGCTCCTGTACGACTGAGTCAACCATTTTTTGTCACAAGTGACCTACATATTGACGTCATTTTCACATTGTGACGTCACAAACATGAAGCAAAACATTGCGTAACACCTGCTATTTATAGAACATGTGTATGACTATATGTGTGCCAAATTTCATTCTGATCTGAATTGTGGTTTTTTTAAATATAGAGATAGTTCGCGAACTTTTTGATCACCCCTCGTACATTACAAATTATTTCAAACTAATTTTCAGTGGCAACATTAAATAGCGAATTCTTATACACACGTTGAATTCACTATCTTTATGAACAGAATTTTAAGTGCTTTTAATGCATATTCTTTTTGAAATCAAACTGATCTGCTCATTTTTAGAACACTTTACTTTTTCCAAATTGAAATAGTAACTAATGGTCCTTGTGAAATAAAAGCTTTTATTACCTCTACCGAGGTTTCCTTATATAAATTCGATCCTTAGATGTGAATAATTCCCTAGAAATCACTGTGAATTGACTAATCCCCAGTTTGCTGTGCGTTAGTCAAGTGAGCTAATCTCTGCTTCGAAAGTTGTATCGGTATCGCCGTGAATGGACTAATCCCCGTTTTTCCGTGCGTTAGTCAAGTGAGCTTATCCCTGATTCGAAAGATGTATCGGTATAATAAAACAGTTAAAAAGTATATCATTGAGGGAATTAGCAAGATTCCAGTTCCCCTCGACCAGGACTATTTCCCGAAGCGAAGCTGACAAAATTAAATATACATGTACCAGAATCTGCAGGCATGTTCACGAAACTTTCCTAAGATACGTCCTAAGATTGTTCCTAAGATATGACTTAGGAAGATAGTTAGGAACATCCTAACATCAACTTAGGACAAATCATAAGATGTAGCTCGACGGTATCTTAGGAACATCTTAAGTTAGGATATCCTAACATACGATGAATACTATTGTTTCTACATACATATAAAATTTGGGAGACATTTGCAGCCAAAAAAACTTCTATATTACATAACAAAAATTTATCCATTTACGTGATGATTTCAGTATAATGTTAATGTTTACATCTTTAGAATTATAAAAGAAATATTTAATACCCCATGTAAGTCGCAACGAAACAGCGAATTTTTTTTCTATCAAAGTGAAAGATTTAATTTCATTTTTATTTTAGCTTTGTTTCAGCAATAATCTACAATATGTTGGATGACTCAAAAGATAAAAAATAATCTTGAATTCAGTAATTTACCAATGAAGATTATGATATGACGTACAGTATTATAAAAGTCTGAATTATTTTTTGAAAAATAAACTGATAAAAAATATTAAATGAATTTTGCAGGGCTCGAAACCATGTACTATAGTATTCAACAAGGGAAATGTTTCATTATTTTAAAGGCAATGCTTAATCCCCGAGTCTTGGAACTCTCAACAGTTTTAAAATATGTGAATCAAAACAATACACCCCGATTTACTTATATCAAGGCGATTTATAAAAATAATAGAATAATTTTCACTTTTGGTCCCTTAAACATAAAACTTGTATGATTTTTTTTTATCGGGAGAGGGGATGGGACTGACCCCACATTATTTTTCCGAAAATACTCGCTTACTGTTAATTTAATATGGATTGTTTTTTAAAAGGCTGTTCCCCCACTTTCTTTTGCAGTATGGACGACCCCCCCCCCCCCCTACACACACACACACTCACACACATTACATGTAAGAAGGTTTTTGAGTGCGGACATTTTTTTTTTCTTAAATTATGTCAAAGTTTTTCAGGGAATTTTATTTTTTTGGCTAGTCAATTATATTTTTCTTCCCCTCTCCCTAAGAGTCAATCCCAATTTGAAAGGGGATCTGACGTGCCTGCATTATGAATAAGAAAAGGAAGTGAAAATTTTCAAGTGCAAAATACAGGTGTTTTTTGATGAGGTGGAAAAATAGATTATCGAACATCGTAACTAATGTTGCAAAGAAGAGGGCTTGGTATAACATTTGTGAAAAAAAATGATTTTTGTAATTCCTCAGCCAGGCCCGTAGGAAGCAATTTCAGTTTGTTTTTTTTTTTTTTGGGGGGGGGGGGAGGGCACAACCATATATTTTCAGTTGGGGGGCACTATCATCTTCCAAAAATTCCTTGACAAGCAAAGAAAAAAAGGTCGTCAGATTTTATTATTGAGGGAGCAGAAGCATATAGTAGCTATGCTTTCTATAATATTCTATATAGCGGCAAAATTATCAGCCCCCGGACCCCCCTCCCCCCGGTTCCTACGCCCATGTCAGCTAATACGCAGACTGTTGAGGAACGTGAAATTGTCGCTTATACTTGCGATACTCAGAAAAATAACCATCACCACAAACTTAGGATGATCATAGGATATGATTTATGTTGTCCTAAAGTTAGGACAAACTTATGACGAGGTCCTAGATTTAGGAAAGCTTCGAGAAACTGACTTAAGACTAAGATATTTCCTAGGACGTTCTTAGGACACATCTTAGTCCTAAGATAGCTTTTTGAACATGCCTGCAGAGGTATTTATGATTCACAGTTCTATAATCAAGAAATTCAATTGTTAACATGAAGTAAAACAGTAGCCTAGAAAACCATTCGATAAACGAATGATTTGTTTTATTTTTTATCCCTTCAAACACCATACCAGTGCAAAAGACCATGTTCAAAATTATTTCAGAGACTGAGTTATTCTGTAAGGAGGCAATATTTTCCCTGTGGTTGCTTTTTTATTCATTCACAAGTAAAATCCAGTTTTCAAACAGAAATAAATCGGTGAAGATTTGTTTTTCATAAATGGAGTTGATAAGTCATGAATCGAAGTTTGTATATTTTAACAGAGATGTTGCAGTTCTCAGAGGCAGACATCTATATCTAGATCCAAGTACATATATTTTGCAGTAGGCTTCAGATGTTGCACTATACTATGCAAAAAACAGTAGAAAACGTTATGTCCTTAGAGCAACACCTTTTCTCTCCAATTCCAAAAATAATAAATCATTTAAAAATATTAAAACTCACTCTTTCTGGCACAGAATTAATGTAGAATTCATTCAATCCTCCTGTATTGCAAACACAATTTAGTTTAATAAAGAAATATATATATACATGTATATTTCTTAAGGAAAGGAACCCCAAAAGCTGTGAAACATCATGGAAATCCCCTTCTGCGTAAATTACTATGGAATTGCCCCAAAGATTTTGTTTTTCAAAAATACCCAAAATGCGATTATTTTTTTCAGGTCATCCCTTGATAACACAGGCGATTGATCAACTGTGCCATTTTACATTTTACTTTAAATTTTACACACTGGTAGACAAATGTTTCTTTAGACAGAAAATCTGTAATTTGAAAACTGTACCGCCCAGCATATTACTTATTCAAAATAACTGAAATTTTCTAACACATCCATATAAATACCCAACAGTGCGATCTGGTGTGACATAGATTGCTGGGCATAAGCCAGAAGGTAAGCACTACGTAAACAAATGACATGTAATTCATTTTCAACAAAAAATGCTTAAAATAATAAATTCCAATAACTACTCAAAAATTTTGTATATCTTTGCGACTTTAATTTTTAGTGAACACTGTTTTGAACTCTGTTTACTATTTAAAATATCTTTTTAATTATCGCAATATCGATCAAACCTATCTCCAGTTCTCTTGTTTAAATAAAAACCTCAATTGTGTTAGAATTTTGAGCATTTCTATCTCCTTAAAAAAAATTAAAGTTTATTATTTAGATATTTCTTGTTTCATTTGTGTCTTGTTGTTTTCCCAGTCCCACCATGGCATTGACTTGGATACACTGTATTGCCCTACTCTACTGCTTTTGACTTTTCGGACCTTGTAGAAACCAAGCTCCTCTTGGTGTTTAGTTCTGTCTTATTTTATGTGCAGCAGCGGCCGATCTATTTGTGGTTGTATTAGAAAGTGCACATGAGGAAATGAGACGTTATTTTTGTTGTTTTGTTAGAATAATTCCTTATTGATAGCATGTATCAAAGCAATGAATAAAAATTTTTTAAATAGTTTTATATTATGTGTAAATTATTGTTATCAATGCATTTAAGTTTTTTGTCAATTTTAATCAGATATTAATCTATGAATTTACATTTTTTTTTTACAAGTGCCCCCCAGCATGGGAATGTATAATGTATCAAAGCAACTCGATACGATCGTGATTTTCCGGAAAATTACAGTACTTGAAAAATTTGAGAAAAATTGGTACTAAATTTTGTTTTGAATTTGCTACAGGTGCGATTGACAAACCAAAATTTTTTCTATACGTCACATTTATTGTGATGGTAGAAATCATCGGCATCATCACGTGACATTAATCCAGGGTATTATGATCAGCACATGGAACGTTTGCGGCCGATTTGATGCTATGCATCAATATATTATCTTATTTCTTTGTAGAACAGATATTAATTCGTTTTTTCCGACTTTTTTAATCACATAAATACAGGTAATCGACAAAGTTACAATTTCATTTTTTTGATCCAAGTTTTGCATATATAAACCTATGTATTACAAATACGAAGCATTTCTATGCTTTTAGTGCTGGAAATTATAGAATTTTTCTTTAATTCTATTCAAAATGATCCATGAAATTTGGCCCCTATTTTCTTTTTTTCTTTTTTTTTTTCTTTTTTTCTTTTTTTTTTTTACTTCTTCCGTTTTTTAATTTCCAACAATTCTTATGCAGATTTCAAGTTATCTTGAGAGAAGTGTTTTGTTATGTACTACAGAATGAGTCTGTATTGTATTCGGTTTTGCTTTTTTTTTTCATAGCCTTAGATTCTGATGTTCAATTAATTTGAATTTGGCTTTGATTTTTGGTATTAGCCTTTTTTCTTTTTGTTTTCATATCTACGGAAGCCCATTTAGGACCTATCAAAAATATTTTTGAATTCGATAACGAATTGTCGAATTTTTAAAACGAATTTAATTCGTTAATTTAATTTAATTTAAACGGCACGGAAATCAAAGGTTTTATCAAATTTTGGATCTCTAGCTCTCTGGTTATTTGTCAGAATTTTCTCAAACAGAGAGCTATAGTTCTGCAGCTAAGTTCAAAATGTGTATATAACACATTGCAGACAGACAGTCAGACAAAATGTATAGCTTGCAGTTGATCAACTTACGATAACATTACGAAATGCAATCATAAAACAATGGTTTTATATTTAAAAAAAATTACAGGAAGAAGATGACGAGAAAGGACACCTTGTTTCTTGTCACTTGCATAGGAGTCTTAGGCCTGTCGTCTGCACTTCTGAAGTCAATTCCGTTTCCGGTCGAGTTAGAAGAATGCTACAAATTACGCTCTTACAACATGACGCCATCTGATTCGGTTGCCATTAGTATACAGAATTTCTGCTTTCGAAATTTTCAATATACGCAGCTATCTGCTGGTAAAATATGGTCCGGTCCAAACATCACACAAGACGGAATTAACTATATTAATAGTTTATTCCGACAAATCTTTGCTGAAGCAAGGGAGGTAGAAAAATACAACAGAAAAGGTGGGCGTCACAAACGACAAGCATTCCCTGGAAGATACAGACGAGAGGTGCGAAGTCCAGGGGCTTTACAGCGGTTTGCAGCTTGTATTAATCGACTACAGAGAGAGGTAACTCGATAATTATTTTATCTCATACCTACAGCTTTGAAATGATGAAAGTAGTGTTATTTATTTGGTGAGAGGTCGATGTCATTCCTGTAGGTTTAGAAATAATTGTTTTACATATTGGTGTTAATGCCTAGTATAGGCTAAAATAGTTGGCTTTTCTCCTTTAGGATGTTATCTGCAAAGGAGCATTTGGATGAACATATAGTAAAGGGAAGAGAAATAGAAAGTTACTCAAGTGTGGTGCTAAAAAGCATTGTTCATGTTGTTCAGTTTTTGTTTGGAACGTAGTAACAGTTTCACTTCCACACTTCAATTAGAAAGCCTGATAAATTTCAGTTACAGGAAATCCTGCCTCACCTGAATTCCAGGGAGAACAAGTAAACAAATAGGTGATACACTCTTGATTAAACAGGTGGAAACATGGTATATACTGACAAAAAGACACAGACATCAAAGCTATCATAATTGTCAAACTTAAAAGCAAGCACTTGTTTACACTCCCTTATACTAAATAAATATAAATTGTCTTGAAAGATTACATTATCATGTAGTTTTTGTCTAGCGTGAAATTGATAAAGCATTGACAATATTTTTACTTCTTTTAATCAGCCCGTAAATAATCAATCATTTGAATGTATCACTAATAAGACGATATACATGTACATTATAAAACTATAAAGAAAAAAATTAACACCCTCCAAGCAGTAATTTCAATTGAATCTGTCTCTATAAATTCCAGGATCAACCCCTGATAATACTATTGGAAATGTCTTTTGAGAGAAAAACTTAATTATCAAAATGATCTTTCTATGCTGAATTAATATGGAAAATCAATACTATTAGTAACATAAAAAGGCATCCTTTCATGGGGTCCTGCAGACAAATTATCTCAGTTTTTGTTAACTTTAAAGACATGTATGTTGTTTCTTGTTTAAAATTGAGGAATATAGAATTCAGTTTTGGACTCATCTTTTTCTGGTGCTTGGGAAAATCAATGACGTGATTTTCACGTGTATCACACTTGTCCTTTTTTGCAAGCCTAAATGTCAAGTTTCTACCCAAAATGTAACAGTTACTATAGTAGACAAATTATTAACAAATTATTAACATTAATTATCAATATTTCCAAAATGGTATAAAACCAAGCTGCAGGGGATGCCTTCGCATGCTAAGGGTTTTCGGTCCGCTCCACTCCTCTCAAACCTTGGCAGATTACACTTAGTGTACCAAACCTGTGGCCGACATAAGCGACATCTTCTGGACGCATTAAATTTTAACTCTGGATTCCAGCCAATCAGATAACAGTTTTCAAATTGTAGTTCGCTATCCACTCTAAACAAGAAATGGAGATGTAAACGAAAGCATGGATTGAAGAACTACAGGAGGTAATTAAAGGTTTATCATGCACCAGACGAAGATAGATATGAAGTGAGAATATAATGGTTAAGTGTGTATAAGTACACGGAGTAGCAAAACAATTTTAAATGATCGTTCGTCTGTTGTTTTTATAAATGACGTAGTGCGACATGGAAGCAGTCTTCTCATTGGTTCCAAGGGACTATCTTGGAAGAAACAGCGTATCAGCCACAGTATCTGACAAGAATTTGTGGGGAGGGAAGCGGACCGAAAATTCATGGCTTGCGAAGATGGGGATGCCCTGCAAGGTGGTGTCAGTCTCTGTTTCTTTTGAGAAAAGTAAATTTAAGACATTTAAGGTTTTCTTACATTTTGCAGTCTGTCGAAGAGAATGAAAGGAGAAACACTTACCAAACATTCTCTGTTTTCCATTCCGGACCATCACTGAGAAGTGCTCACGATGGTCCCGCTTTTCTCCCATGGCACAGGATCTACTTACTACTGTAAGTTTTATCATAATCATTTAAAATTCTTATCCATGTAGGTTTTTTTTTATTTAGGGAATTTTTTTTCTATGGTTGAAAGGACTGATATAGTCTTAGTCAACTAAAAATGAAGACTATATAGAAAGTTAACTTAGCATTTCCGCCTCGTCCATAACCATTTTCAATTTAATTGCCTCAAAGCAACCTCGATGAAAGGGGATATGATACAGGACAGAAATTGAGTCTGCATGCAATTTTAGAATCCTTTTCTCTATATCCAGTTAGGGTAAAAAAAAAAAAGAAGCATCCTTCTTAGGTCACATGAGTCACTTACATGTAGGTGACCTATTGCTATCTGTTTTTATCGGTCGTAACTTTGAAGTGGGACAAACACCATCTTCTTCTTTATTACTGATCACCAAGCGGTCAAATTGTTGATACGACTATAATAGCAATGAGCCTCTACCAAAATTGTAAACTTCAACACACTTCGGCTCAGGACTAAGGCTCCAGAGTGGGGGCTAAGTATGTAGGTCATTTATATCGGTATATTGATCATATACAAGAGGCCCTTGGGCATGATTTGATGATCCTAGTCCTTATAGTTGCTTTCTTTGGTTGTTAGTAAGGGAATTAATGTCGCAGCTGTTGCAGAAAAAATACATAACCCGCGTAAGAAAGACATTTTACTGTTTATATTTATATCTGTATAAATAATCATTTAGAGTAGGATTAAAAAGGTAAAATATTGAATTGTTTAAATGTACGTCATCGTACGTTTCCTTGATGGAACAGCCACTGCTCAAGAAATCTGTGTACGTGTTCTGCTCAGTGTTGTTTACTGACTGATAAGCGGCAATGGTTTTCATAAGAAATAAAGGAGAAAAAATTCAGTGGATGTAAATATCAAAGTTTTAACAAGACATAATTTTTAGTCAACGTTGAAGTGATCTTGAGACCACGCCATTTGCCCCACGATGATGCCTTGAACAATTTTAAATCTACAACATATCTTCATCCTTGTGTGTAAGTTTGTGATAATCTGCTCAGTGGTTCTTGAGAAGAAGATTTTTTAGCAACCAGTACTTTTGATTTTATTTTCCTAATTATCTCCTCTTGTAAAGGTCACATACTTAGTTTTAGTATAAACGAGAACCCTTGGGCCAAGATACTTTGTGACAAATTTGACAAAAAATGGCCAAAGGGTTTTTGAGATACTAGTATGGCCCATATTCTAAAAAGTTTACGCACACCGCACAAATGGCTATAGCATTAGCTCTTTGAGTCTTTGGCTCAGAAGAGCTAAAAATCTTCTTTACTCAGGGACATTTAGCAGGCAAAATATTTCCAGGATTATAACTTGCGATCTACCTTTTACCAAAATTGTGAAATTCATACCCCGGGGTCCATGATTCAGACTTAAGATTGGGACTAAAATGGTCATGTATTGAAAATATATTACATTTTTCTTCTTGTCTAGACAATAACTCATTCCCCTATTATATGCTGATGTTTTTTTTTTATTTTATTGATCACAGAGGTTAAAGTTACATGCAGTATTATCATAGAAGCATTTTACAGCTAAATATTTTTTAAAAAGTCAAATATTGCCTTAAACAGACTCTCAAAAAGTTTACCATTCCCAGTATTAATATAAATTATTAATTAGATGATGTCTAAAAATAAATATTTAATTGCCCAATAATGCTGTTTGTCAGACTGCTTATTTACAATGATATCCACTAAATCTCATTCGGACAAAATGCTTAAAATACTTTCTGTATGTTTATATATGCGGGTAGAAAACAAAATCTAAGGTAAAAGTATACATTATATTTACTACGAGTATAGATTATACATGTATTTGTTATATTGGGTGTTTTCTGTGCTTTAGCCTCGAGACAGCATGTAGGTCCCCAATCCCTTACTGGGATTCTGCTCTTGATCACGAGATGGAAGATCCTACCGATTCAATTCTTTGGAGTGACGAATTGCTCGGAAATGGTGACGGTGTGGTCACCAGTGGGCCTTTCCGAAACATGCGAACACTTCTTGGAGGTCCCTTAATCAGGAATGTTGGAACAGGTTGGTCAAAATTTAAATGTTGAAGGAAATACAGTATTTTTAACCAATGTACATGTGTTTTATTTTTATACATTTCTAATTTGTTGCAATTGCAAAGTATTTACACCTTTACGTATAGAGAAAAGCTTTCTTTAAGAATTAAAGGATACTAATTAAAGTCATTAACAGAGAAAAAAATATTATTATTATTTGCAATTGAACATGGGAAGAAAGCTAAAAATATGCTCACTGCTAATTTATGTGTAGGTGACAGCGCTCTATTCACCAAGGAGGGTCTCAGAGCTGTTTTGAGTCGAAGAAATTATGGAGACATAACGGAACCTAAAGTAGGACAAGACTATGTTTTCAGTTTGGAGGGCCATCATAATGGTCCACACAGCTGGGTTGGAGGCCATCTAGGAACAGTGAATACTGCACCGTACGATCCTGTGTTTTACATGCATCATGCTTTCATTGATGCAGTTTGGGAACAATTTCGAGACCAGCAGGTCGCCAATGGAATTAATCCAGAACGGGATTATCCTAACCCCCCTCATCCTACAGGGCACGGACCTAATGACATAATCGACTTTAGACCTTATATATCTCCAGTAACTAATATTTTTGCTATGTCGGATATTGTTGCAAATCTTGTCAGATATGAACCTTTTCCAACCTGTAGGAATGGATGTAATGGTAGTCCTTATTTGCGTTGCCAAAGGACTTCTTCCGGTCAAGTCTGTGTATCTAGAGATCGGCCTGGTGCACAATCGGGTAGGACCAATTTCGCTGCTTTTGACTCAGAAGGTATACGGCCTATGTCAGACTCACTTATGATGGCTCAAGCAAGCGGGCCTATTCCTGGTGGCTCTAGGTTCCGCACAGCGCCATTTAATGATAGGCGAAATGGAGGAATTGTAATGGGTACTGCTCCTGTTGCACCTGAAATCCAGGCAGCTAGGATGGAAGTGAGAGAAGTTGTTCAAGAACGTAAACGACGAGATGTTTCCAAAATATCTCAAAATGGTACAACCAATGGTGCTCATCATCAATCTGTTTCCTCCCTTCAACGGTCGTTTACAAACACTTTCCTCCTTGACGGAGAGCTAGATCTTAAGCGATGGGTTTATGTGCCAGTTCGTATTGTGCACACTAGATCTCTAAATGTCGACGGTGTTGACCCTACCTTTTATGGAGATGTAAGATTGTCAGATAATGTTTGTCACACAGTTCAATCTGGTGCTTCAAAAGTGTTTGTGGCTTCCAATGGTTTAGATTATTTTGGAACATATAAAGAATTTGTGATAATAGATGAAAGGCAACCGGTTTCCGTTACAACAACTGCTGTAGGAATAAAGAACCCGGATTATGGTGAAGGAGAGGTTCTGTTCACTGCATATGACTCTTGTGGAAGGCCATGTCGTCCTTTGTGTTTGACGGAAAGCAAAGGACAACAGAAGTATAAGGCTTGCTCTGGGGCTTTTAAGATCTCGTCTGCTAATCCTAAGATGTATAAACCTACGTATAAAGATGCCACAGCTGGTGACTGGATACTGCACAATTCGGTGGATTCATTTTCTTTGGATCCACAAACTCCAATTACTTTTGTATGTGGAAATAGTGAAACATGGCCCTGGGAATTTTAGAATTTTTTACATACATGTAGAATGGTTTGTCACAAATTTTATTGATCTGTGCAACTTTGAGAAAAATAAAGATTTAGTAAAGTAACAGTTTAATTAATATGCATTCCTGCAATATATTATCATTATATATTATTTATTTTGTTAGAATCTGCCAAATATTTGTAAAAATATTGTATAGATATAGCGAAGAATGACAATAAATGATTTTTTTAAACATGAATATACCAAACTCCGCATCAGCGCATACATATACACATGTACATGTCCGAAAAGTCCGAATTTATTCAGTGATGTTAATTATGTTCCCCAAACGAAGTTTGGGAACATATTGTTTTTACTCTGTTTCTTATTATTATTAAGGTCTTTCGTCTTCACGGAAGATCTTATAGTGATTCTACTGTTTCTTCTTATTAAGGTCTTCCGACTTCCTTCGGAAGACCTTATTGTTTTCCTTCTGTTTTCTATTACTATTATTATTATTCCACTTTTCATAGTACAGGCAATATCTCAGCTGTGCGTGGTTCAATTCAAAAGATTTTTTCAGGGAAGATGCATCATGTCCCTCACTTTTTTGAAATTCACTTCCGTTCGCGATTTTTTGGGAAATTTGTATTTTTTAAATGGAATTTTGTCCACTAATTTTCTCGAGAACGATTAAAGATATGAAAGTGAAACTCGCGGACATGATAGAACATCACATGTAAATATGCTGATCGACCTTTATTTTTCGTCTTTCGTACTTCCGGTCGCGAACGGAAGTGAATTCAAAAATGTTAAATTTGCAACTCTTTTGTTTTTCAATATTTTTCTTTCTAATTTACAGGGTTAATAGAGAGTCTTCTAAGAATTCTATGTATGTTTTCATCATTTTGATTGATGCATTTATTGCAAAGATATGACCGATCCTAACTTTCTCGTATGTTGCGGGTTCGAATCCTGCTGGGACGGGAGACTGTTTCTCTCTTTTTTCAGTTGTTAATAATATTTTTCTCCTTGAAGACATGTATGATAGTTTTTGCTTATTTTCTAAAGCTTTGTTAACAGAGATTCTACAGAAATCCTTTAATAATTATGATCTATGTTGAAAGACTGTGTTACATAAACGCAAACGAAAAATACCTTCAATAAAGTATTAAATGAAGTGAGATAGCATAACGTTCTGTCGGAAGACCACTTGTTGCCCTAGCAACAAGAAACGCATCTAGTTAAGGTCTTCCGTTTCAGACGGAAGACCTTATAGTGATTCTACTGTTTATTAAGGTCTTCCGTTTCAGTCGGAAGACCTTATAGTGATTGTACTGTTTATTATTATTATTATTATTATTTTTTTCCCATTTTTTGTCCAAGCGATTTCTCAGAGATGGCTTGATGGATTTTCTTGAAACTTTCAGGGATTATGTAGAATTAAATAATCTAAAAACATTTTTAAGGATTTTGCAAAATTCACTTCCGGTCGTCAGATATGTCCGATTTCCGTTTTTTCAAAAGAGTTCATGTCCGGACGTTTTCTCAGAAACGGTAAAAGATTAAGACACCAAACTTTCAGGGATTATAGATCATGACAAGTAGGTTTGTGGAATATCTTTAAATCCGTCAGCCGTCACTTCCGGTCGTCACAGGAAGTGATCAAAGAAATCAAAAATTTTAACTTTTCTGTTTTTGATTAAATCTTGCATGACATTATTGCATCTGTTTTGTGGTTTCGAAATATGTTGGTCCCACCGGAAACAGAAACGTCAACTTCCGGTTATAAGCGAAAAACTACATAATTTGAGTATTTTACTTTCCCATAAATATCGCTTATAGATGAAGTATTTGAAATGGTTTTTAGATATGTTATTTAGACTGCTAATGTCTAGAGTAACGTCAAATATCTTGGTAAAATTCACTTCCGGTCGCGTGTTTTACTGTCCGCAAAATAAGAACTTGTCAAAGTGAGATCTCAAAAACGGTAAGAGATTAAGACACCAAACTTATATGAGTAATAGAACTTAATGAGTAGGCAAAACCTTTTGGGTTAAGAGCGTCAGCCGTCACTTCCGGTCGTCACAGGAAGTGATCAAAGAAATCAAAAATTTTATCTTTTATCTTTTGAAATAAAACTTGCATCATATAATTGAATCTCTTTCACAGTTTCTATATGTGTTGGTCTCACTGGAAACAAAAAACGACAACTTCCGGTTATAAGAGAAAACTATGTAATTGGGATTTTTAACTTTCCCAAAAATATTGCTTATATATAAAGTCTTTGAAATGGTTTTCATATATTTTATTGAGACTGCAATTGCCTAGTGTGACGATAACCATCTTATGAAAATGCACTTCCGGTCGCGTGTTTTTCTGTCCTCAAATTGAGATTTTGTTCACCAAATTGCTCAGAAACAGTACATTTCTGAAGTCTAAAACTTTCAGAACTAATAGTCAGTCCTCAGTTTATCTACATCATGTAAAAATCGTACGTTGCCGTCACTTCCGGTAGTGACAGGAAGCGATGAAAAAAGTGAATTTTTAAAGTTTTTTCTTCTTTTTACAGAAATGTTTGGCTAATGCGAATGTTAGGTAGACCATAACAATGCAAATTATTTTCACCGGAAGTGCCAACCGAAAACCCGGAAGTTGTCTCAAACATGAGTAGTTTTTCATGGAAACTTTTAAGGATGATCAGTTGTGAATAATTTAGGTGTAGAATGAACATTTTATTCGTTTGGAGCACTTTCGTTCACGACGAAGTACATAAAGAAAACAGGAAAGTAATTCCGTTTGTTTTAACTTGTATTTACATATCTTTGGAAGCCTTGTGATAACTTTTGTTAATTATTTAGAGTAATCTTATTGAGAAGATTCTGTTTGTTTTTCAAAGAAGTCAAGAAAACGGAAGACCTGTTATTGCCTAGGCAATAAGTATCTAGTTATTATTATTATTTTTTTCCCGTTTTTTGTCCAAGCGATTTCTCAGAGATGGCTCGATCGATTTTCTTGAAACTTTCAGGGATTATGACAAATAAAATAAACTAAAAACATTTTCAAGGATTTTGCAAAATTCACTTTCGGTCGTCAGATATGTCCAATTTCCGTTTTCTTCAAAAGAGATCATGTCCGGACGATATCTCAGAAACGGTAAAAGATTAAGACCTCAAACTTTCAGGAATTATTGATCATGACAAGTACGTTTGCAGAATATGTTTAAATCCGTCAGCCGTCACTTCCGGTCGTCACAGGAGGAGATCAAATAAATCGAAAATTTCAACTTTTCTTATTTTAATTAAATCTTGCATGACATTATTGCATCCGTTTTACAGTTTCGAAATATGTTAGTCCCACCGGAAACAGAAACGTCAACTTCCGGTTATAAGAGAAAAACTACATAATTTGAGTATTTTACTTTCCAATAAATATCGCTTATAGATGAACTATTTGAAATGATTTTAAGACATGTTATTTAGACTGCAAATGTCTAGAGTAACGTCAAATATCTTGGTAAAATTCACTTCCGGTCGCGTGTTTTACTGTCCGCAAAATAAGAACTTGTCAAAGTGAGATCTCAGAAACGGTAAGAGATTAAGACACCAAACTTATATGAGTAATAGAACTTAATGAGTAGGCAAAACTTTTTGGGTTAATAGCGTCAGCCGTCACTTCCGGTCGTTACAGGAAGTGATCAAAGAAATCGAAAATTTCAACTTTTCACTTTTGAAATAAAACTTGCATCATATAATTGAATCTCTTTCACAGTTTCTATATGTGTTGGTCTCACTGGAAACAAAAAACGACACTTTCCGATTATAAAAGAGAAACTATGTTATTGGGATTTTTAACATTCCCAAAAAATTTCACTTATTGATAAAGTTTTTGAAATGATTTTTACATATGTTATTGAGACTGCAATTGTCTAGTGTGAAGTCAACCATCCTAAGAAAATGCACTTCCGGTCGCGTGTTTTTCTGTCCTCAAATTGAGATTTTGTTCACCTAAATGCTCAAAAACACTACATGACTGAAGTCAAAAACTTTCAGAACTTATAGTTAGTTACCAGTTTATCTACATCATGTAAAAATCGTACGTTGTCGTCACTTCCGGTCGTGACAGGAAGCGATGCAAAAAAGTGAATTTTTAAAGGTTTTTTTTTTTGTTTTTTTTTTTTTTCGGTTCCGGTTCCAAGTTATGGACATTTTTCTGATTTTGAAATAAAATTTTATCCGCGCGAGATCTAAAGAACGGCTAAAGATATGAACTGGAGACTTGTTGGAGAGCATAGAACATGACTTTAAGATATGCGGGTTTGCCTTTTCGTGCGTCAGGAATACTTCCGGTCGCTACCGGAAGCGAATTTAAAAAGTCCATTTTTTCAACTTTTTAGTTTTTCAATATTTTTCTTTGATTTTAATAGGGTTAATAGTGACTCTTATTGTAATGCTTAATATATAATTTGTTTTCAAAATTGTCTACCGGAATACATTTTAAAAATAGATTTTTTAGACAAATCTTGTGCACGCAATATCTCGAGAACTATTCAATGGTTTTTCATCAAACTTTCAGGGATAATGCACTATAAAATGCCATTGTTACATTTGAAAGAATTTTGGAGAAATTCGCTTCCGGTTCCAAGTTATGGACATTTTCTGATTTTGAAATGAAATTTTATCCTCTCGAGATCTAAAGAACGGCTAAAGATATGAATTGGAGAATTGTTGGAGACCATAGAACATGACTTCTAGATGTGCAGGTTTGCCTTTTCGTGCGTCGTGGGTACTTCCGGTCGCTAACGGAAGCGAATTAAAAAAGTCATTTTTTTCAACTTTTACGTTTTTCAATATTTTTTAGTAGGGTTATATTCCTTTATAGATGCAAGTTACCGAACATAAAAGGTATCAGATTCCTTGAGCGTCATATGGCGAGACGTGTTTTGTTGCAAAACATTCAAGTCTTTTCATTAATGTGTTACTAACTGGAATAGTCCACTTTGGGGGTAAAGAGGAAAATAAAATGTGTAAGAGAACTTAGCGCTGCCTTTATGTTACTTGCCCATATATTATGATATGTTATATGTACAGTGTGATAAATAAACATTCTTAGGCCCGAAAATCAGGCTATAG